GTTTTGAGAATGATGTACAAATGCACTTTACACAATTGATGTGTGTATGGATTGCGATAACAGTTGTATGAGCCCCTAATAAAATGTTTTAAAATAATAATAATTGTATGGGTTGGGAGGGTCACCACAACATGAGGTATTAAAGGGTCGCGGCTTTAGGAAGGTTGAGAACCGCTGCTATCCAGGGTCACTTTGCGTGGGAATTGACTCGATGGCAGTGAGGTCTTCGTGGTTTTGTAGGTCAGGGGCCCGCTGATTCTGTGGTTAAGAGTCAACTGCTCACCACAAGGTTAGCAGTTCTGTTAGATCTCTGGGAGAGAGCTATACCTCGGACCTTGGCTCCGCGTGAGAAAGAATTCACGCCGAAGCCTGGTTTGTGACCCAAGTGAGTTTATAGAGAATAGAAGCAGTTTCAGTTCCTACAGTAAATGGAGCACAAGGCAGACCAGTCCGCGGCACAGTTGCCGGACTGCGGCCTGGCCGCTCCGGACCACAGCCCGGCTGGTTTACATCATGTAGCAGCCGCTGGGAAGGAGAGAGAGCCCAGCGCAAACCCTCTGCCTTTTCAGGGGCCTCTTGTGAGGTCTGGTTGACTCCATTGGCTAAATCAAATTCACCTGCCTTAGATGGGCCAATCCAGCTGTATCACCCCTTCCTGGCTAGAAGCTCGAACTTCTGAGCAAGCGTAACGGACGCCCCAGTCCCTATGCTAGCTACCTAACAGGTCGAACCCACCAGCCACTCACTTATGGGAGAAAGATGACGGTGCCGTAGCTGCTTCTATGGCGACTACAGCCTTGTGAGCTTTGTGGGCAGTTCTCCTCTGCCCTGTAATGTCTATTTGTCAGACTCAACTTGGCAGCAGTGGGCTTTTTGAGTTATTTTAGCTTAAAGCTAGAGCTTTTTAAATAACTGGCATATTCTCTTCACCCTTCACTTTTTAGTCCCCTGTTGGGGTGGGTGTGGTTGTTTTGTTCTGGGGGTCTGCTCAAGTGATACTTTGAGAAGAAACATACAGCATAAGGAGGTTCAGGTGGTCCAGTCACCAGGTCACACTAACCCAGGACGTGTGGTTGCTTCTCTGAGCACTTGTTGAAACTCAGGGTGGAGGCAGTAGGTGAGGGACCCTTGGCAATGGGCAGGCATCTGTAGTGTCCAGGCCAAGTGCTTGTCACTCAGTACACCTAATTAGACTTGGGACCCAGGGCCGATTGCAGCCCTGGCCATGGACATAGACTAAACCTGATTGGGAACTCCGGAGAAAGTGCCTCAGAAGCAAATCATGAATCCTCTGCTTAGGGCTTGAGTCGCGTACGTTTTCCTGTAGATGATTACGGAATCGGAGTGGTGTTGGAGCTTGAATTATGTCTCGGGGGGAGAAATGGCACTGGTGTAAGGCTCTAGGAAAGGGTGTTTGCTGTCAAATTGGCTCTGACTCATGGCAACTATCCGTGCGCAACCTAACAGCGTTTTCTGGTCTTAATGCCATTGCCACCATCTCTGATACCTGTAAGCCAAATTGTGGCCAATGTATAGTGTTTTCCACTGTTCTGTTTGACATCATTCTGTCATGAGCCATAGGATGTTCAATGGCTAATGTTCAGAATTAGACCACCAGCGCTCGCTCTCCCATCTGTCTTAGTGTGGAACCTCTGCTAAAAGCTGTCTAGCAGGGCTGACCCTGCTGAGTGTGAAACCGGCAGAGCTTTTTGCACTGTAGCAACATGCATGCCATCGCAGCAAGGCACACCGACAGACGGCTAGTGACTGTCGGATGTAGAATTGAGTGCTAAAGAGTGTTCATGGTGAACGCACAGTTATCACGATCCCCTGACATGCTCAGGCCTGGCTGACCTAACCTGGTGTGTGTTTTATTTTGGAAGTAGGTTTGCACGTCCTCACGGCTTGGTCTGGAAGACTGAAGGATGCCAAAGAAAGCAAGGCCTGCGGGAGACGGGCAGGAAAGGGGGCCTGTCCCCTGTAAGCAGGTCAGAGTGGAGGCAGCCGGGATGCCGTCCTCTTTGAACTTTGACAGCCCCAGCAGTCTCTTTGAAAGTTTCATCTCTCCCATCAAGACAGAGACTTTTTTCACGGAGTTCTGGGAGCGGAAGCCTCTTCTCATTCAGAGAGATGACCCTGCACTGGCCACGTATTACCGATCCCTGTTCAGGCTGACAGATCTGAAGAGTCTCTGCAGCCGGGGACTGTACTACGGAAGAGATATAAATGTCTGCCGATGTGTCAGCGGGAAGAAGAAGGTTTTAAATAAAGATGGCAAGGCCTACTTTCTTCAGCTGAGAAAAGATTTGGATCAGAAAAGAGCAACGATTCAGTTTCACCAGCCTCAGAGATTCAAGGTAATAGATCCCCCCACAGATGGAGCCTCATTGAAGCGCTGATGATATTTGGCTTAGGGATGGATGGTGCGAGGATCGTTAGCCACCTGCCAGTTTGAGAAGAGGGAGCACCTGTTTGGTCTTTAAACTGCACTCTGGCTTATGCGACTCCATGGTATCTTTTTGGCTAAAGGGTTAGAAGTGCCTCCTGAGGGTGGGCATGGTTGGCTTGTCATTGCTTTACCAAGCTGCCGATGTTAAGTTATGCTGCAAGCTTCTAAGGCCTAGGAAAGTAACATGATCTTAGGGTGTATCTCAGAGATTTTATGTCATGGAGGTCACCCAGTGAAATTGCGTTCTGTGGTTTTCTGTGTTTCGTTATATGAAACCCAGGATTGATGAACCTACAGGGACAGCAAGTGGAATAAGAGGTGTTTTTTGGGTGGGGGGGAGGATACAGTGGAGGTGGTGTGTAAAAGGGAGATGATGTCAAGCAGTCTAGGAAGTAAAAGAATGTTTGGAAACTGACTCTGGTAGCAATCACACAATTTTGCATGATGTGATTGAACTATGGAATGATATATGTATTAACTCCCGATTAGTAATACATTAAAAAAACAACAACAAAGTCACATTATACCTTCAGCGTCCGTCCTATGGCCGGTCTTCTGTTGGGATATAGGTAGACATTGCTGTTTGGTTTGCCTGTCACAGTAATGTAAGGCATGGCAACATAGTGCCTCAAAAAAACTAAACCCACTTCCCTGCCATTGAGCCGATGCTAACTCATAGTGACCCCATAGGGCAAGGTAGAACTGCTCCTGTGGGTTTTCGAGACGGTAGCACTTTATGGGAGTAGAAAGTCTGAGTTTTTCTCCTGTGGAACAGCTGGTGTTTTTGAACTGCTGACCTTGGGGGTAGCAGCATAACCATTATCCCACTAGGGCTCCCTTGAAGAAGCCTACATCTCCCGAAGAGTAGAGGCTTCAGGGCCGTGATTCGATTGTATACCAAATGAAGCTCCAGCAACACTGCCCCCTCTCTAATAGCATGCGTAGCACTGACAAGTGGGATTTGGCACTGCACCTGGGGAGACAGGCAGGGGTGGAGGTTAGCTTCAACGTGAGACTCAGGACTGGCTAGTTTATTTGGTATGAATCCGTGATTGACATTTGGGAAATAATGTGCCTTCTCTGTACTCACGTTCCACATTTATAAAATGAAAACTTAGGACTTGCTGACCTGCTTTCTCGGAGGTGTGAGACCTTTAGGTGACAGGTGGCCCCACAGAGTTAATGGCCTTGTCTCAGTTTTAGGTAAATTCTGTCCCCTTCAGCACCCCTCTCTGTGACTCAGCACAGGATAGCAAGGTAGGCGGAGAGGGGGTTGGGGAGGTCCCGCTTTGAGGGACATGGATTCAGGCGATGCTGATGGCCTCTAAGACGTTGTTGTCAGTTACAGTTAATGTTTCTGTGGATGGAACTCAAGAGTTTGGACACTAGATCCCATTAGGCCGCATCTGGTAACGATTTTTCTTTCTTGTCTAACGGTGACTCCATCAGTACCCTGGCTGAGGTGGAAGTATTCTTCGATTATGTAGGGAAAATCCTAATTTCAGATGTTCTCTCTTAAGCAATCACAAGAAGTTGAAATGTCTGTGGGATTCAAACCCTGTATACCTAGCACCAGAAAGGAAGTTATATGTCAGACCAAGCCATGGTTCAGAAAACAGACACAGGTGGTATAGTGGGTGGGTTACTAGGTGGGCTGCTAACCATGTGGTCAGCAGTTCAAAACACCCGCCTACCCCAGGGGGAAAGATGAGGCTTTCGACTCCCGTAGAGAGTCACGGTCTTGGAAACCCAAACGGACCGTCGGTCAAGGTCACAGTGGGTAGGAATCGGCTCGATGGCAGTCAGTTTGGTTTTTGTTTCTTTTTATGGGTAAAATGCCCGTCGGCTAATTATGGCTCTTTCCCTGGCTAGAAGTTGTACCTTTAAGAGTAGAGTTCTTAGAAACTTCAGAACTAGGCACACACATGATTTTGGTGAGTTATGACATGTCACTTGCATCCAGGCCAGTAGGAAGTTGATGTTTGGCACGTGGGTGGTGGTCCCTGTGGTGGTATCATTTCGGTGTTTGGCGTAGTCTTCCTGACGGCCTTTCTCTGCTCCCTTCCTTACCTCCTGCCTGTCCCTCCTTCAGCTCAGGTTGCCTCCTCGATCAAATGTATTATGGTGAAGTTCAGTGCTGTGGGTGCTTGTGAACGGGCATATTAATCAACATCAGGATAGAAACATCTAGGCCATGTTGAGAGATGGTTAGAGGGAATAGTTAGCCCTTGGTTTGTTGGGTCTCAGATCGTGCACAGCGTGCTCTTCTCGTTAGTCTGGAAATGAGTAAGGAAGCAACCAGAGTGTCTTAGAAATCGCTCCCACTTCGATAAATCCAATGGAAGCCTGGTGGCATAGTGGTTACACATTGGCCTTCTAACTGCAAGGTCAGCAGTTGGAAGCCACCAGCCGCCCCGTGTGAGAGAGATGAGGCTTTCTGCTCCCCTAAAGAGATAGAATGTCCAGAAACCCAGAGGGGCAGTTCGACCCTGCCCTACAGCGTTGTCCTGAGTAGTCAGCATTGCCTGGATGGCCATGAGTTTGGTGGTGGTGGTGTTTTGTCCATTGAGACATCTAGAGGAAACGTATTGTTGTTTGCACTTCACATGGCATGCTGGAATTTGCCAAGTACGTTCATCCATGTAAACCCTGGAACCTCCTAGAGACATTTGGAATAGGGAGGGCAGCCTCTGGCGCTCATTTTAGACAGGAAGCAACTGGAGTTGTCGGACATTGGGACTTTCCAGGGCTGTTCCTCCGACACAGAGCTTCTGACGCCAAATGTAAGGTGCTTTCCTACCACTCTTTTGAAGTTGGTAGCTGAAATGTGGTTTCAACATGTTTTCCTTTGGGGGGCTTCCTTGAGTTTTTACTTTTGCCATGCATGGTTCCCCGGCCTTAGCCACGGCGTTCAGGTTTGGGG